TTCTGCCCATGGAGTTTTCTTGGTAAAGATACTGGAGTGGCTTGCCAGTTCCTGCTTCATGTAGATCGTGTGTAGTCAGAACTCTCCACTATGATCTGTCCGTCTTGGGTGGTCCTGCATGGCATAGCCCATAACTTATCTGAATTACTCAAGCCCATTCACCATGACAAGGCAGCAATCCGTGAAGGGATATTGTTTGCTATGAGACTGTCATAGCAAACAATATAAAAAGATACAACTAGGTAGCATCACCTCTTAGTATAAAAGGACTAGGGATTAAAATACATAACACCTCTGGAAAAACAAATTAGATTGGGCAGCAGTAATTCCTTCCTACATCTTTGCAGTAAGAAAAAGAAATCTAGCCACTCTCTCTGTTACTGATTTTCTCACAGCTGCCAAAAGACAGGCCAGATACCATTTAAAAGTCCTACCTGGGAATTTTGAGAGGATGGAACAGCCTGATCCAATCAGCTCTATAGAAACTACACATACACAGAAAGTCTGAACCAGTGATTCTATGGCCCCTCTCTACCAGGGCATAACCCTTCACAGTAAAAGATCCCTGAGATATAGCCATCCAATCCTGGGGAGGCCAAACAACTAATCTGTCTGTATAGTCAAGATCAAGTGATATCAGGGAATGTCAACTTCTCCAGATACCTAGCATGACTACCTATGAAGACAAGATAAAGACAAGATATAAAGGAGAATTAACCTTCTGGGGAACAGTCTTAACAATGCTCTTAATGTGAAACGCAAGAATTGATGTTTCCTGGCTTGTTACTCTGAAAGAAATCACAAAAAGAGTGATGTGCTAATCCAGATATGACTGGCTGCCAACCACACTTTTTGGAGTTTCACAGAATCATAGAATAATTGAGTTGGAAGGTGTCTATAAGGCCATCAAGTCCAACTCCCTGTTCAATGCAGCAATCAAAATCAAAGCAGATCTGACAGGTGGTTGTCCAGTTTTCTCTTGAATGCCTCCAGCATTGGAATAGTCACTCCATCCCAATGTAATCAATTCCATTGTCATTCTCGTCTAACAGTTAAGAAGTTTTTCCTGATATTCAGCCTAAATCTGGCTATCTGTAGCTTGAGGCCATTATTATGTGTCCTTTACTCTGGGAGTTTCTGATGTACCGTAATATTCTAGAAATTCCAGCATATCTCGCCAATAGCGGGCTGTAGTTCCTAGAGGACTAAACGATTGACTACTACAATTTGCTCTGTGCGGGCCTATCTTGAAGAAGGTCTGGAATCTTCAGTTGGTGCAGTATGTGACAGTTAAGTTGTTACTGGTACATGTTATCACAATCATATCGCTCTGATACTTAAAGACTTGCAC